CGTGATTGGCTGTTACAGTATCAGGACCATAAACACTATTCACATTTTCAGCCGCCTGGCTTGCGTTTTCGCCTTTATCGAAGAAAAACTGTAAAATATGGCGTATTTTCTCTTTGCTAATGTCCATCTTGACGCGCGCTCAAACAATACTGAGTCAAACAATCACAAAACTGTCTGAGAAGTTTTTTTAGTACGAAATCTTATCTTTCTAACGCCATCTAGCGTAAACCGATCGCACTTATACAACGCGAGATACACATTACTAAAGCCATCTATTGAAAAAATAATGGATTTCTTTTTACTACACCTTATATATACTCTCTTTATGTGTGTGTATATATATATATACACATATATATGTATATATATATACACACACACATATATATGTACACACATAGACGTGCGCACGCACACACACAAATATGTACACACACACACGCGCGCGCGCGCGCGCGCACTTATAAATATGTGTCTGTAGTGTGTGTGTATATATATGTTACAATCGACGTTAACACTAGATATCAAAAGAAGCTTTATAAAAAGCCGTGCATTACTTTAATCTTTTCAATTAGTATTCTAATTCCGTATCTTTATACATGTTTTGTATTTCTTGCAGCGAATTATACAGCATGTCGTGACGCTTTATCTATACATAATCAATCAGAAAAATCATTAGATTGTCAAATCGTTATTTGTTGACCTAATAGAATTATGCTTTATACTAAACACGCTGATAGAGAGGCTGCTTAATTCAAAAGTTAATAAGATGTAGATAATTAACGAAAGCGTCAAAATTAAATATGCGCAAATCAATTAAATATCACAGCATGCAACATTCAAATATAATACAGAGGAGATATTCCAAAAGATATATACCATATGCTTTCATACATTATTTTATAAATGAGAAAGTTTGTTGTATAAATTTTCACTCTTTCTCTGTGTCTGCCTATCGTTTGTGTGTGTGTGTGTGTGTGTGTGTGTGGGTGTGTGTGGGTGTGTGTGTGTGTGTGTGTCGTATAAAACCAACTATCTCGTCTGTTTAATATACCACATTAGAAAATATAGAGTAACTCCTCGGACGCCTACGTAATTACAACGGAAACTATCAAGCAATTTCAAGTGTCACGCATTGCAGAAGTAAAATAACTGCAATTAAGATAACTATAATTATAATGGAATGCTTCAAAAAGAGATTTATGTCAATAGCATTTCTTCACGTCGCGTGCGTGTATATAGTCTTTAATGAGAATTTAATTTGATACGAGACGAACGGATCAAGCTTGAGCATATCTTTTACGAAAAGATGACAACGATATTGTTTATTACTGTCACACAACTGCTCTTTGGAACATCCTTTATAATGTTAAATAAAATTGCTACACAGTTCCAATTGAAATCCTTGTTGGAATAATTAGAGTAATCTGATATCTATCAATTATCATCTCTATAAACATGTACTGTACAAGTTAGAATAGTGAGGAAATTACCCAGTTTTTATTGGGATTTGGCCGTCGTATTTTGTTCAACCATCCTTCGATAAAACGCAGAAAACCATCCATTAGTGACGCTTGTTCAGAATTATTAAGTGGAGTGTATATGTCGCATCTTGGAGAGCCTTCCAAGATTTTGCGAGTCGCGGAATTATGTAGTGGCAATAGAAATACTCGAAACCGCCAATATTTGAGAGCCTTGAAAAAAATTACGAAAACTGTAGGATTTTCTTTTATAGGAAGTACGTAAAACTAGATCAATAGTAAATTTCTTCATTTCACTCTCACCTCCACTAAAGCGAAATCGGTATGGCCTCGTGTGCATATATAGTGGTCCAGATAGTTCCAGTTATAATTCTCGAGTTTTTCTGTTGTGAAGGACACCCACGATACTTCGTATGTATCGTGGTGCGGAGCGTAAAATCGATACCGATAGTGTATATTGAAGGGTGGATAAGGGTGCCTGTAAACGTGACTAAATATTTCTTTTGCTCAAGTTTGTCCGTTTAATCCGTTTAATTGGAACAACACAATTACAGTATAATAAAATTTACTTTGAAATATGTCTTATCATCATATTCCAACGCAGCAAATTAGTGCATTATTGATAAAACTATTTACCGTGGCCGGTACCTCGTGACTGTGATAGAATTATCAAACAGAGATATCTTGTGAAAGATTCTTCCAATGCTAAGTAAATATTCTTCTTTAGGTTCGGACTCATTTTGTCTACCGCGCATTATTGTGCTAATAGCGGGGGCGGCATTATTGCCAGATCCGTTACTTTGATTTTTGTTAACTGGCGGTAAAATGATCAGCTGAAAACCCTTAACGACACACAAGATTCGTCACTCTCCCTGAGGATATAATTATATAAAAATATGAATAAAAATGGTGTCTTATCTTTACTTGAGCCAAGCGTTGTGAGACCAGTTCCTTGAATACCTCCGTGGTCGTGAGTGGTTTTTTATATATCGCTCGCTGCTGGGCAAAATCGGCGTTAACGTCGTCCGGCAGAAGATTATAGTCCGACACGACGTAGTCATTTTGCAAACTTCTTTTATCCGGGAAGTAATCTGTAGTGATTGGTAAGCACGCGGGAATTGTTAGCGATTTCCAGTCGACACCTGTTCGAATAAGGTTTCAGAGATTAGTGCTGAAAGTGATTTTGGGCGATCATATTGTATATCGGTATCAGAAGAAGAAACAGATAAATCGTTGGACATATATATTCGTTCGCAGTTTCGAGAAATGTATCCGTGTATACTATTTCTTTCCTAATATTGACAAAAATATTTCTCTGTGTCTCTCATTCCAAAATCAATTTCTTCATTCAACTTTATCAGGCCCTTTACTCAATATCTATTTCTTCGTTATAATCCTATAGAGTAGACATTCGATAATCGCGACACTCGCTTGATGTAAGTGAATAAAAGTTGTAGAAATCGAAACACCAAACGAAAAAGTTTCGTACTATTAATTTCTTTAATCTTGTAATTTATTCGCTGTTTTTATAGGACAACGAATTAATTCAAGCGGGGAAAACAATAAGACACCTTCTGACCGTCACTTTCTGACGTTACAGACATCGTGTAAGGCGTAAATTTCGAAAAGTGTATCAAATTATCGAGTATCTACTGTACTACCGATTTAATACCCTTTAACCAGTATAAACAATTCAATTTGCGTTACAACGAAAATTATCAATAATAGTCTTAATTATATAGAATGTTCTAAAAAAAAAAGATACATCTACAAGTATAGCAGCATGATATTCTTTGGAAACTTGAAGTTATATCATTTTTAGTAGAAATAAAAATCTTAAAAAAAAAAATAAGAAAACTCGAATTTATATAAATGTAAAGTTTATATCCGAAACTTTTCGAACATTCCACATATTTGATTTAATCTTTATCATATATAAGTATATATCTCTCTTTCTTTAAAATTATTAAATGGATTAATATCTATACGCACGCACGCACGCACGCACGCACACATACACGCACGCACGCACGCACAAAACACATATATACTAATGTTAATAAATTTAATAATTTAAAAAAAAGAGACTCGAGTCATATTATACTCTTTTTCGCAATGACATTTGTCCTGGTACTGGCGCGTGTATAACATTTATAAATATGATAAAGATTAAAAGTCTATAAACACATGCTTTCTCTTATTGTTTGACAATTATTAGTATGCTTGTAATAAATATTCTACGAATAGTGATATCAATTTTTATTAGATTATATCATAGAGTAGATTGTATGCAGAGTGTCAGAGAATCATAAGTAAAAAAAATTTAAATCGCTAATACAACTCATAGAAGCAAAAAAAGAACGAATCCCACTAAGCACACAGGTGCGCAAGTTAAACATTTATAAAAAAAAATAAACTCCAAGATGATTAGTTAGTTGGATCCATGCATATCGAGATCTTTTCTTTATTTTTTTATAAGTTTTATTGGTTAACTCTTTACTCTCTTATGATTCTAAGACATTTTGTATAGGGTTATTCTCTCTCTCTCTCTCTCTCTCTCTCTCTCTCTCTCTCTCTCTCTATATATATATATATATATATATATATATATATATATATATA